TCTGTTTGAGTTTCTGGAGAATGTCAGCATCCATTATCCTTAAGTAATTTAAAAAGTATTACTCCTTAAACTGTCCACTATTTTTAAACAAAACAAAAATGTATTTTATGTGACTTTTCCCTAAGAAATTACTCTTTTCTTTGACCACTCTCGTTTTTTGGAACCAGCATATACAACTCCTACTGAGCTTATTTCTAATCAAAGCCAATTCACAGAGAGCATCCACTTATGGAAACGTTGAAATCAGGAGAACAGAACACTAGCTGATGTATTCTATAAGCAGAAAGGCATGAGATCAAGTCCTAAGTCTACTGTAATTCCCCTAAGCCCTTCCATCCTCTATTCCTTTAACACCCTAAACACACTCCTGCCTCAGGACCTTTGCAGTCACTGTTTCCTGGAACATCCTTTGCACAAATATGTACATAAGTCACTCCCTCCAGTGTCTTTTAAGTCTCAGTTCAAATCCCACCTTATCAGAGAGACTTTCCCAGATCATACTATTTAAAATGGCTTCCTTCCCACTTCACTATTGATCGCCTTACCCTGCTTTATTTTTCTACTTTCTCGTCTCCAAACAGAGTAAGCTTCATGAAAGCAGGGACTTTGTCTTGTTAATTGCTGCATCCCCAGAGTACAGGCTGACACATACAAAGCATTTCATAAATATTTGCTGAATGGAAGAAAAACATTTAAGCCTGGTTCTTGGTGCCTTGTTTTAGGAGGGCTAATGATAAATAGGAGTCCCTGGGTGGTGCAAACGGTTAATGTGCTCAGCTGCTAACCAAAAGGTTGGCATTTAAAGAGGCATATCACAAGAAAGGCTTGTGATATATTTCAAAAAAATCAGCCATTGAAAACCCTACAGAGCACAGTTCTACTCTGACACACATGGGTCGCCATGAGTTGTAATTGACTCAACAGCAACTGGTTTTTAATGATAAATTATGATGTGCAAATAGGAAAGCCATCAAGGTCTAGACACCTTTCACTTAGGGTTTAGATTTGTTTGTGTGTATCTAGAAGAAAGGAGGAAGACCCTGGGTTACTGGAAGACAGGTTTTGGCTCAAAATAAAGAAGAACGTACTAATAATTTCAGCTGTTTAAATCTACCCTTCTGTAGGTGATCCTACAGATTGTATGACCACTTTGAGGATAATTGTAGAGGAAATACCAGCATGTTGTACAAATTAGGTTAGCTTATTTTTAACACCAATTTTTTTAAATTGTATAATTCTATATTGAATTAAAAATAGTGAGTTTGGCTCTTCTGCAAAATGCTGACAAGCAACTGTATCTATTATGTTAACACCTTAAACCAGGGGTTGGCAAATTGCAGCTTACAGGCCAAATCTGGCCTGCCAGATTTTTTAAATAAACTTTTCTTTGTAACACAGCCATATCCATTCATTTACATATTGTCTATGGCTTCTTTTATACAACAATGGCAGAGTTGAGTAGTTGCAACAGAGACCATGTGGCCCTCAAAGCTAACAATATTTACTATATGGCCCTTTACAGAAAAAAGTTTGCCAACCCCTACCAAAAACCAATAAACTGTAAAAAAAATAACACATGGAAACACATCGTATTATTATATTATAATAATTTATATTATTAAATAATAATTTTATATAAAAATAACATTATATTATTTACTCTCCCAAGTACTTGAATATTATTATTATTATGAACTATTGTATCAGTCAAGATCCAACCTGATAATATAACCCACTCTGAATATTTAAAGAGAGGGACTTGAATATAGGAAATTTGTTATATGGGTGAGGGAAAAGGCTGAGAAGCCCAAAGATTGGCATCATCAGGAAGATGCTACCACTCCTACCAGGAAAACACAGGAAGGGAGGTAGTTTTATCAGAGCCCAGAGGCTGAAATCACACAGAAGAAGATGGTACTATAGGGTAGGAGGGTGAGGGGAGAGGTTGTTGCCTGAACTGATGCCAAAAAAAAGACTCTGCTTCTGCCTGAGATGCTGCCTGAGGTAGAGAAGAAAAGAGAAATACACACTGGTTTTCCCCACTAGTACCTTCCGTTGCCTGAACCCAAGCAGAAGTCAGCCGACACAGAAGCCTGGGAAGTGGAGCCCTCAGGGTTTGTTCTCCTGAAATACGGAACAGAGCAGAGAGGTGACAAATGAGTTTGAGGGCACCTAGAGCCAGGACCAACACAGGAGCCAGGGACGGAGCTAAACATTTTACATGCATCCTCACCTAAGAGGTGAATACTAATATTATCCCCAGTTTATAGATGGGGCTCACAGCCATTAACTAAATAAGTGACCGAGTTGTAATTGAATCCAGGCCTACCTTGCTCTAAAATTCATGTTTTTCACCCTCTCATTTTATAAATGAGAAAATATAGTTTAGGAAGGATAAGAAACTTGTAACTGGTTAATGACTGGGCTAGGCATAGAACCCAAGAATTACTACATTTTTGCACATCTGAACAGTTAAAACCTTAAGCTATTATAGCGTTTAGAGAGTGTCCAGAGGAGGGAGGTGTTCTTTCTGTGCTCCAGTTTATTCTGAAATGGAGATTATTAATGATATCTACTTCATAAGAGTGTTGAGAGAGATTAAATAGATAATACATCTAAAGACCTTTGAGCAGTGCCGCAGAGCAGGTACTCAGTAGCTAGCTGTTGTTTCTGTGAATCTTATTATTAGGTTGACCCTGGGAGTGGTTATCTCAGAAAAAGAGTAGACAATCAGAAATTTTATGAAATGCTATCCAAGTGTTCATCAAACAGTAATATCCTCTTATTGGACATTTCCCTTTTCTTCCATTTAGGATAATCCCTATAAGACACTCAAAAATAGGATTTTTATTTTGTTTAAGTGAATAGCTGTCATGATGCCTTAGTTTTGTTATTTCAGAACTTTTTTTATATTCCAGACTCATCTTATCTATGAAATGTCATCCCCTAATAGGCTTCCATACAGTTCCTCTCTTTCATCTAAGATGGGCTTTTCCCAATTATACCAATATATGACCTTTCTTTCCTGTTCTTATGGTTTTACTTGGCTTAATAGTTTTTTTTTTTCCTTTGAAGTCCTTTTCCTTCATAACTAGCTCAATTCCTATAATACTTTGGTACATGCTCAAGTTTTTCTTCCTCAACAAATATTTCCTTAACTAATCACATGACACATTGATGTTTCTTTTTGTATTACTTCAGCACCTGTAGACAACCTGTAACATGCTGCCATGTACTATTTATATTGCCTGAAATAGTTCTGTCATTTTTCATTTGTATCTTATTTCTCCAACTAGATTGATAGTCATGCTTGGATGAACTTCAGGTGGTTGATGCTTTACAAATAAGTATTATGTGAAAACTTGTAATTAGAGTTCAAATTATTTATATCTTTTGAGATTGATGTTATTTGCATAAAAAGTAGCCTTGCTGCTTGGCAAAGCCTCTGAAAACTTTAGTCCTGTGTGGTTCCCTTAAAATGGCTAGAAAGGGAATGTATTCCCTTAATCCACAGATTAGGAGACCATGAAACACAGATTCTGGAAGCATATGCTTCCAGCATGGTACACTAGGTACCTTATAGTAAATAGTTATTTTTCATTTCTTTTTAAAGGCAAGCAAGGAGGGTGATTTGACAAGCAGAATCATTAGGGTTGGGATAGCAGTGTCATGTTTTAATGTGCTGAAAATATTTTAAAACTTAGGGTTCATAACAGACGGTAGACCTTCTGCCACTATTTTCTGAATCTGAGGCTTTGGACTTGATATGGTAGAAATTTGAAACATAGTATATAGGCAGTAGTGATGACCATACAAATATTTACGTATTGTGGTCTATTATTATTGCACATGCTCCAAAGGGACCATTCACGATGTACTGAGCTTGGAAAACTCTATAAAGAAAATGTACAGATCCAAGAGAGGATAGTAAAAAATTTCCTCAAATTATCTTTGAGACTGTCTGCAACATACTCATCATTTATTCACAATTAAGCAGTTTTATCGAATGACTTGTTCTGTTCTTCCGGATTTAAGGAGAATGTTTTCTCAGAGTTTCAAACACTGTAACTTTGTTTTTAAAGTGCCACAGCTGCAGGACTCTAAAAGATGAGTCAAATTAGGTCATATTGCTCAAACACTGTGATATGTTACACTTTGAATTTTTTGTGAACTCAAAGGTTGAGTTTAGAATGACCCTGTGGTATTTGGAATGTAGGCCTAGCTAGACTGACAGGATGTTTCTCTTTAAAAAAACTTCAGGTAAAAAGAAAAGCATTCCAAATTTTTAAAAAAACAAGTATTCTTCCTCTCAGCAACCCCTCCCACCCAGACACATATACATGTTTTGGACCAATTTACTATTTTACTGTCTGTGATGTTAACAGGTTAAATGTAAATCTTAGCAAGTCCAAATTCTTTGAATGTGAAGGTGTTTAGACTTGAGGCCTAGCTTTTTGCCCAGCTCATTCCACATTTTAAAATATGGTCTTTGTCAGGGCTAGACAGTAAACAGCTATAGTAGTAGAGCTCCAAACCACAATTAATAGTGCTAACTGTCATGTTTCAAACCTGCCTCTTGACTCCCTAAAATGAAGAACTGGGAGCAGCTGTGGCAACTGAACCTCAAATTCTGCAACCGAAAAGGATTTTGTGTTTTAGTTTCTTCACCTAGTTTTTATATGTGTTTATAAGGAGATACTTGATGGATTGATTGCAAAGTGGACTATGACATGTATCTGGGTGTAAAGTTATATGGAAACTGTCTAACACTTAACTTTGTTTAAATTACTGCAGTTATTTCTTCTATGGCTAAGATTACAATTCAGACACTTCAGTCTGAATGCTGGTTATAAAACAGTAAAGCAAATGTCAGAATTATAGCCAGAGTGAAGTGGTGAGCTAATTAGACAGAGTTCAGGCAATCTTAACTTTAAGGGACATTGTCCCTGGCTTTGGTATTTTCCAACAATCGTACCATTTATGATTTTATTTTATTTTAGCCATGTCCTTTGGGGTCCCGAGATTTTCGAGAGAAACAGTGTGCAGACTTTGACAATATGCCTTTCCGTGGAAAGTATTATAACTGGAAACCCTATACTGGAGGTAATGTATAACCTGGCAGAGGATTCTTCATGCTTGAGAGCTTTGCAAATTTAAAAATATATATAAATACATACACACGCATATACATTCATGAATATACTAGAAAAAATTAGCATTTACAAATAGGAGCAGGCAGGTGCTTATAGTACTGTAAAGTATGCATGTTTCAGTTTCTCTTTAATAAATTTTATATGTTAGTACAAATTATCAGAAATCATTTTAAAAAACCCACCTAATTCTATTTAACAAGATACAAAGTTATTAGAAAGGATATCTGCATATATACAAAGCCTTGTAATAATATTTTTGACTTCTGCCTGCAACTTCCTTGGGGTATAGGTACATTACTTTGTAAGTATTGAATATTTGGAACTATCACCCTAAAAACAAATTATAAGACTATAAATCAGCTCAAAAGAGGCCAGCAAAATCCATAGTCTTTGCTGGCCAAAGGACAAGGATATTGCTATAGATTATTATTCTTTTTAGTGTTGGGAACATTTTTGCTCTTTATTTTGGGCATGTATCAAACACTGATTGTTCAATAGGCATATGAACTTTTCTTAAGCTCCCAAAATCCAAACTCAATTTTGTGGAAATTTTCTCTTGAAAAAATTGAGTGTACTTTTAAACAAATTTATTTATTGTTCACTTGTTTTTTCTAACATTTCATTATGAAAATTATCCAACATACAGGAAACTTAAAACAAATTTACATTAACAACTGTATATCAACCACCAAGATTATACCATTAACATTTTATTATACTTTCATTATTACAGGTCTATTCATCTCTCTATCCATTCATCAGTCTATCCTATATTTTGATACATTTCAAAGTAAATTGCAGTGATTAGTACACTTCCCTCTAAATACTTACAGCATTAACCAGAGTTCAATATTTGTTTACTTTTTCTCTTTTGACGTAAGATTATGTAAAATGAAGTGCACAAATCTTAACTGTATTTTCCCTGAGTTTTGGAAAATGCATACACCTGTATAACCCAAACTCCTATTGAGATATAGAACATTGCCATTACCTCCAAAGTTCTCATAGTCCTCCAAGTCCTTTCCGATCAATAGCTGCCTCTACTGTCTCCTTCCAAGAAGTAACCACTGTTCTGATTTTTTTTCCTCCCCATAGATCGGTTTTGCCTGTTCTAGAACTTCATGTGGATGAGATCATGCCATATGTATACTCTTTTGTGTAAGGCTTGTTTAAGCCTAATGTTTCTGAGCTCCATCCACATAGTTGCATGTATAAGTAGTTCATTCCTTTTCATTGCTGAGCAGTATTCCATTGTATGAACCATAGTTTGTTTTTCCATTCTCCTATTTATGGACACCTGGGCTATTTCTAATTTTGGGCTGTTATGAGTAAAGCTGCTATGAACATATGTGAAGAAGTCTTTTTGTGGACATATGTTTTCATTTCTTTTAGGTAAATACCTAGGGATAGAATTACTAGGCAATAGGGTAGGTGTAAGTTTAGTTTTAAAAGAAACTGCTGTTTATCCAAAGTAATTGTACCATTCTATTCTCCCACCAGCAATGTATGAGATTGTATTTTCTCCATATCCCTGCCAACATTTGGTGTTATCAGCCTTCTTCTTGTGGGTGTGTAGCAGTGTCTCAATGCAGTTTAAATTTGCATTTTCCTGATAATTGATTGTGTTGAGCACATTTTCATGTGCTTATTGGCCATTCATATATATTCTTTTGTTGTCTGTTCAAACCTTGTGCCTATTTTTTAATTGGGTTATTTATCTTTTTGTTCTTGAGTGATTAGTTATTAGATATGTTTTATGAATATTTTCTCACAGTCTCTGGTTTTCCTATTACTGTTTTAATGGTATGTTTGGGTTAGTATAAATTTTTAATTTTGATGAATGTCAGCTTATCACTTTTTTTCTTTTATTGTCACTGTGTTCTGTGCCATATCTAATAAATCTTTGCCTACCTCAACTCACAAAAGTATTTTCTTAGGTTTTCTTTTATAGTTTTAGTCTTTGTATTTAGATCTGTGATCCATCTCAAAATACTTTTGGGGTATGCTGTCTATTTATAGTGTATTACGGACTCTATTTTGTTTTATTAATCTGTTTGTCAATCCTAGTCGGAACTGACTTGATGGCAACGAGTTTTTTGTTTGTTTGTTATGCCAGTACCACACTGACTTGACTACCATAGCTGTATACTTGGTCCTGAACACAGGTAGTGTTAAGTTCCTCCAACTTTCCAACTTTGATCTTCTTTTTCAAGAGTTTTTTGGATATTCTAAGTGCTTTTCATTTGTATGTAAATTTTAAAATCACCTTGTTAATTTCTGTTAAAGAGTTCGCTGGGCTTGTGATTGATATTATATTGACTCAATAGATCAAGTGAGGAGAGCTGAGATATTAACGATATTGAATTTTCCAATTTATGAGCATGGTATTTCTCCATTTATTTATGTTTTTTTTAAATTTCTCTTAGCTGTATTTTGTAGTTTTTGGTGTAAATCTATTCCTGAGAAATTTATGTTTTTGGACATTATTGTAAATAAAATTTTTGAAAATTTTATTTTTAATTGTTCTAGTATATAAAAATAAGATTGATTTTTATATATTAACCTTATATACTTGACTTTTCTAAATTCTTTTATTTGTTTTAATAGTTGTTTTGTAGGTTGCTTATGATTTTCTGGGTAAAGTCATGTTATCTGGTAATACAGCCTACCTGTTTCAATGTTTATGCGTTTTATTTCATTTTCCTGCCTTAATGCACTGGCTAGGCCCTCTAGAACAATTTGTGCATCTTTTGATTATATGTTTTTTGTACTTTATCCTGTTAATATGGTGAATTATTTGATGGCTTTTACAAAGTTAAAACAACCTTATATCCCCAGGGTAAACCTTATGTGGTCATGATATATTATCTTTTCATATATTGCCAGATTCAACAGCTAATATTTTATTAAGGAATTTTTGAATATATGTTCATAAGGGATATTAATCCATAATTTTTTTTCGTGTCTTTGACACGTTTTGGTATCATAGTTACACTGGCTTCCAGAAAGAGAATCCTTGTTTATTTCTGAAAGGTTTGTAAGATTAGAATTATTTTCTTCCTTAGAATAGATTTCATTAGTAAAACCACCCATCCTAGTATTTTATTTGAGTATGAAAAGTTTATTATTATTATTACAAATTAACTTCTTTAATAGATACAGGGGTATTTTGATTTTTTTACGTCTTCTTGTGTCAGTTTTGGAAATTGTGTCTTCAAGAAATGTATGTTACGTACATGTTATCCAATTTACTGACATCAAATTCATCATAACATTCTCTTATTACCTTGTTTAGTATCTATAGGATCTGTAGTGATGTATCCTGTTTCATTTCTGATATCAATAATTTGTATTTTTTCTCTGTTTTTTCTTGGTCAGTCTTGCTTAGGGTCTATCAATTTTATTGATCTTTTCAAAGAATCAACTCTTGGCTTCAGTACCTTTCTCTATTTTTTTTTTCCTATTTTATTGATTATTGCACTTATGTTTATTATTTTCTTTCTTAATTTGGGTATATTTTGCTCTGCTAAACCCCCCAAATTGGATATGTTGTATTTTTATTTCCTTCAATTCAAAATATTTTCTATTTACGTTGTGATTTTTTTCCTGTGAGGTATGGGTTATTTAGAATGGTGTTGTTTCAATTTTCAAATATTTGAGATTCCTAGGTATTTTTGTTATTGATTTATAATTTAATTTCATTGTGATTAGGGAAATACATGATTTTAAAAATTTAAGTTAATTGAGATCTGTTTTATAACAGCTTATTATCCATCTCTGGGGAATGTTCTGTATACATTTGACATGGATGTTTTTTCGGCATTTGCTGGATTTAGTGTTCTATAAATATCAGTTTTCTCAAGTTGACTAATAGTTTTGTTCAAGTCTTTTATATTTTTACTGTTTTTTTCCTGCTTTAGTTCTTCTATCAATTATTAAGGAAGATGTGTTAGAATCTCCAACTATTATGTGGCATTTGCTTTCTTTTTTGTAGGTTTTTGCTTCATGTATTTTGAAGCTTTTTTATTAGATACACATACATTTGGGATTTTTTCCTCTTGGTGTGGAGGGATAAGAAAACAAGTGTCTGAAATAATTTATAGATTGGATAATTAGCATCTAGATAACTGTATGCTTAGTGAATTAATCCTAAATTCATAATAAGCTTTTACTAAAGCTAATGGATTAATGTCACCTTTTATTTAGAGAATCATCCTAAATACCTCTTTGTTTCCATTTATTGTGGTAAAGATATATATTTATATGTAAGATCTTCAACAAGATGGATTTACACAGCGGCTGCATCAACAGTTTAAACATACCTGCTATTGTGAGGATGGTGCAGGACTGGGCAATGTTTCATTCTATTGTACATAGGTTTGCTATGAGTCAGAACCAACTCGACGGCACCTAACAACAACAACAACAACAAAACATTTGCCATTTCAACATTTTTTATATGTACAATTTAGTGACATTATGTTCATCATGTTGTGCATCCCTCACCACTATTTGTTTCCAAAATTTTCCATCACTCTTAACAGAAGCTCAGTGTCCCCTAAGCAGTGTGACTCTTTCCCCTTCCCTTCTGTCCCTGGTAACCACTAATAAACTTTGGCCTCTATACATCTGTACATTTACCGTTTCTAGATATTTCATATATGTGAGATCATACAATATTTGTCCTTTTGTAACTGATTATTTCACTCAGCATAATGTTTTCAAGGTTCATCCATGATGTACCATGTATCAGGACTTCATTTCTTTTTATGGCTGATTTCATTGGACCACAATCTTTTCATCCATTCACATGTTGACGGACACTTAGGTTGTTTCTACCTTTAGGCTATTGTGAATAGTTCTGCAATGAACATTGGTGTACAAGTATCTGTTTGCGTTCCTGCTTTCAGTTCTTTTGGGTATATACCCAGGAGTGGAATTGTTATATCCCCAAACTTTCCCATAGCAGGTGTACCATTTTGCAATTCCACCAGCAATGAATGCAGATTCCAGTTTTTCCACATTCTCTCCAGCACCTGTTGTTTTCTGTTTTTGTTTTGTTTTGATCATAGCCATCTTAGTGGCTGAGTGAAGCGATATCTCATTGTGGTTTTGATTTTCATTTCCCAAATGACTAATGATGTTGAGCCTTTTTTCATGTGCTTGCTCGCCATTTTTATTTCTTCTTTGGTGAAATACATGTTCAAGTATTTTGCCTATTTTTTGATCAGGTTGTTTGTCTTTTTGTTGTTAACTTGCAGGGGTTCTTTATATATTCTGGATATTAAACCCGTATTAGATATAAAACCAAAAAAAAAAAAAACCCAAACCCTTCGCCGTTGAGTCAGTTCTGACTCATAGCAACCCTATAAAAGGTTTCCAAAAATTTTCACCCTGTCTTTGTTTTGTTGATAAACTCCTATAATGAACAGAAGTTTTTAATTTTAATTAAGTCTCATTTATCTATTTTGTCCTTTTGTTGCTTCTGCTTTCAGTGTTACATCTAAGAATCCGTTGTTAAAAACTAGATCCCAAAGGGATTACTCCTATGTTTTCTTCTAAGAGTTTTATGGTTTTAGTGCTTACATTTAGGTCCTTGATCCACTTTGAGTTAATTTTTGTATGTGGTTTGATGTCTGCGTCCAGCTTCATTCTTTTGCATGTGGAGACTCAGTTGTCCCAGCACCATTTATTAAAGAGATTATTCTTTCCCCCATTGAACAGACTTAGCACCCTTGTCAAAAATCAATTGAGCATAGATATACAAGTTTATTTCTGAACACTGAATTCTATTTCATTGGTCTATATGTCAATCATACCAGTACCAGACTGTTTTACTTAGTGTAGCTTTATATTGTTTTGAGACTAGCAAATGTGAGTCTTCCTATTTTATTCTTCTTTTTCAAGATTGCTGTGACTATTCAGGGCCACTGGTAGTGCTATATAAATTTGAGGATCAGCTTTTCCATTTCTGCAACGAAGGCTGTTGGAATTTTGATCAGAGTTGCCTAAACACCTCATTTGAAAGTTCATTGTAGCAGGGAAAGCTGAACACATCTTCAGCAGTAAACAAAAAACAAATTTGTTCTTATCATCACATATTGTAGTGTGCTAAGGAATACTACCATAGCATTTATGTGTCCTGCTTCTCAAATACTTACATAATTAATATAATGTTAAAACTGAGTAAACCGAAGGCTCTTACATCTTCTTGTTTTAAAGCCTGATACATAAAATTTATATTAGATTCCAAAGAATTACAATAAAAAAATGAGAAAACAACTTTATTGGGTAGTAATAAAGAAAATCCCAGTAAGACATATGGAAATTTAAAGTAATTTTATACATAAAAATCTTATAAAAAATAATCTTCTTGCATGACAATCAACTGTAACAATGATCTCCTTTAGATGGAATGTGCTGTCTCTAATTTATCTAGTTCATCATAGTCTCTAATTTATCATAGTCTCCACCACTAACTCTACTTCCCTCTTTTACTTCACGGCTTCACCCTGCAGGAACATGGTTTCTACTTTCACTGAGGCTTAGGCAAGTCATTTCATCTTGCTCCTTTATTTTTCTTCATTAGAAGTAGCCATCTTCATTTTGAAGATAAATTTTATCAGCATAATTAGACCAAGACCAAAAGTGTGTTAAATTTACTGAAATAGAGGCTTCAACAGAAAGTATTTTTAAGTCATAACTTCAGTTAATAACTACATATTTATAAATAAGAGTTCTTTCATGTGCTGTTTGGAATAAAATAAATGTACATTCATTGTTCCTTTTCTAATATACTATAAAGCTATGATATGTATTTTTCTTGTTTTTTTAAATTGCTATTATTTGTACCTATTTTTCATTCCAACCTTAACAAATATAAATTTCAGTTACAAAATGAAAATGCTCAAGAAGTATTACATGCATTCTTTCACAAAACAAAATTAGATATTTCTTTAATTATTCAAGTTTAATGCTATATTTAATATTTATCTTTTATTTGCTAATTTCATAAAAATTATTCATATCTAATGCTATTATCAATTTTATCTTTGATTACCTAATGTCATAAGAATTTATCTCCAATGCTGAAGCCAACCTCATGGAATAGGATATGTTTAAGGCAGATACAAATTTAATTTAATTTTATTTTACAGCTACCATATCCCTGCTGGAAGTAGCAGAATTTTTGTATTAGCTTCAGTAACAAGTGACATGTTTGGCAGATATTCCTATTTTTTATAAAAGAGAATTGCCTCAAGTGTTTGATAAACTTTACTTCCTTAGTTTTTAAAACAGTTTTTATTTCATTCATTTTTTTTAATATTCAGGCACCTCCACTCTTATCCCTTTTGGCCTAAAATATATTGGAAATATCTGAATTTTAAACCTTAAAACTGTTCAGCAGGTTCTTATTCAATGAAAATAAACATGCAGTTTTAGCAAAAGAGAAAAGAAATGTCTATCTGAAATGTAAAATTGCTATGGATAATATTCAATCACTGTTTATTAGGAGAAGCACCCATTTATTTCTCTTCTACTATGTTTATCCAGGTGGGGTGAAACCTTGTGCATTAAACTGCTTGGCTGAAGGTTACAATTTCTACACTGAACGTGCCCCTGCGGTGATTGACGGGACTCAGTGCAATACGGATTCCCTGGATATCTGTATCAATGGAGAATGCAAGGTTGCTCAGATTGTGAATTTCACTCCTTTTTGTTGATGTTTTTGAGACTATCTTTTTCTGATATACCAGATCCTAATAAATGCTATGTTCAGTTTTAATAAAGAAAGCCCCATTTTAGAGAAATTTCAATTTCCTGAAGGATGACAATTTATGTAGTTAAAGGTAGAATGACCCATTCATATTCAAGTGCCATACAAGTGGAATTTATTCTGTTCTTCTAATTAAGTGTACAGTGGTTGTCAGAGCTATGAAAATATTTTAGACTTGAATTTCTGTTATTCTTTTGTTCTGTTTACAAACAAGATGATAGAAAAAGAAACGGAACAAGGATTCAACTCTTATTCATATGGCTACCATATGTTCTCATTGGAAGATTAGTATTTTTCCTCAGTGGAAACAGCTATGCTCCTCCTATTTTGTCTCCTTTTCAAGCATTTATAATGGTTTTCATTATGGAATTAGTCTTTACCTTACTGAAGCATTTACTTTAGGGAATTAGCCAGACTAGTTGGGAATTGTAGGAGCTATCCATGCTATTTTCCTAGACTTGTATATGAATCTTATCATAATAAGAAAAGTGTGTAGGTAGCCACAAAGGCCACTGTTTTCATAATTTTTTGCTTGTTTATTTTTTCTTTACTTTAAAGAGAAACACAAAAGTTAAGTCCTAGAAACCGAGAAAGAACAGATAAAAACACTGTCTACTTAGTCTTACGGTTTCTTGCAAAAGTTTCTATCCTTCTGGCTGCTTGCCTCCAAATGTATCTGATGATCCAATTTGTGTGTATGTGTGTGTGTGTGTTTACTTTATGTCCTTGAATTGGACAGTTATTTTTGTGACTATATCAAGTTTATTCAGATAACAAAGACCCAAAAACCAAAAAACCAAACCTGTTGCCGTTGAGCTGATTCCAACTCATAGGGACCCTATAGGATAGAGTAGAACTGCTCCATAGGATTTCCAAGGAGCGACTGGTGGATTCGAACTGCCAGGCTTTTGGTTAGCAGCCAAGCTCTTAACCATTGCGCCACCAGGGCTCCTAACAAAGTCCCAGGTACAGATTTAATTCAGACAATACATGCTTGGTGTTAATGGCAAAAGGTCAAATGTGCAAATTTAAGTGCCAAACTGCACATAATATATATAAAAATCCACATTTGTATGATTCCATGCAAAATTGAGAGGTAGAGTTTCAGCTTCTTAAATTCCATGCTTATATCTCCTTTCTGCTTATGGAAATTTTATTCATCTGGTGGAAATATATTCATTTTTAAAGATTTACATGGGCATGAATCCCACAACTAATCTTTGACACTTACAACTGGATGTCCAAAAAGAGCCAGTGGTTTAAAAAGAGCCAACCTTAATGCTTAGTCAGGACTCTTGGTGTTATAATAACCCTACATAGGACCTCCACATCTGAAACCTATGTCATTTTTTCTTAGTTCATGCATTTCTTGATTGGGAGTATAAGTAAGAGCTTGTTGCTAACAAGTGACACTATTTTAAGAACTGAAGCATGATATCTATAAATGAAGAAGTCTAGGTTAGAAATACAGGCATATGTTACTGAGGGATTGGAGGTTCTTTTTCCTTAAACTTATGTGTTGAGACATATTAGCTAGGACTTACAAGGGAATGAAAGTCAAAGTGGAAAGAGGAAAAGTATTTTCTGTTTTGATTTCCTTTACTGGAAAAGTAAGTAAATAAGTCAATTACATTTATTTGATTAGCTATGGTTCCAAGAATTCCTCTTTTTGACACACTGAATATTCTTCTCTGTTTTCAGCACGTAGGTTGTGATAATATTTTGGGATCTGATGCTAGGGAAGATAGATGTCGAGTCTGTGGAGGGGATGGAAGCACATGTGATGCCATTGAAGGGTTCTTCAATGATTCGTTGCCCAGAGGAGGTGAGTGTGTAGAGAGAACTCTTCCTCACACCTCTGGTGTACTTGGAATAGCCAAAACACTCGATTTTCCCCACTTATTTTGAAGTTTCCTCATTTAGACAGACAAGCTTATGTTTTTCCCAAATTGCTTTCAGTTCTGTAAACATTAAATGTGGCTTCATGTAAGATATTTTAAGGAAATATTATTTCCTCTCTACTTAACTTCATTTAGCCACATTTCTTTAAGATATGCATTCCCACAGAGCATTGATGGGAGGGTCATGTGTGGAAGAAAAAAAGAACCAATATTACACATGTGAGGCTTTAAAGATATCATGACGTAACTTCAGAGAATCATAAAAATACTCTAGATGTATTCATGAGCCGAAAAGGGAATTTACCAGTTTTAATAATTTATAAAATATAAAGTCAAAGGAAGAATGGAAGGATAAGGAAACAATTATTACTGAATGGTTACTAAATATTTATTTTCTGACTAAGGCTGTAGATGCTAATTATTACTGATTATCTTCTGTTTTCCAGGCTACATGGAAGTGGTGCAGATACCAAGAGGCTCTGTTCACATTGAAGTCAGAGAAGTTGCCATGTCAAAGAACTACATTGGTAAATAGCATATTTTGCTGGATTTTCAAAATTAATGAGGAAAAGCAGCACAGTATCATGAAGGAAAAGGCATACTACTTTGAGGTAGAATATTTTATGCTAAAATGAAAGAAGTTCCAAGTTTTAAAGGAGCATGTGTAAATGCTAAAAACCAGTTAACAGCTTATAGCTTAATCTTCACTCTACTGGTTGTTTGATTTTTTTGTTTGTTTGTTTGTTTTAATTGTCCTTTAGATGAAGGTTTACAGAACAAACTAGCTTCTCATTAAACAGTACACATATTGTTTTGTTTTTTAGCTTTTTTGTTTTATTCTTGTATTTTAAGTGAAAGTTTACAATTCAAGTTAGTCTCTCATACGAAAATTTATAGATGCACTGTTACGTGACCCTAATTGCTCTTCCTATACTGTGACAGCACACTTTTCCTTTCCACCCCTGATTTCCCGTGTCCATTCAACTAGCTCCTGACCCTTTCTGCCTTCTCATCTCACCTCCAGACAGGAGCTGCCTGTTCAGTCTCATGTATCGACTTGAGCTAAGGAGCACACTCTTCATGAGTATCATTTTGTGTCCCATAGTCCAGTCTAATCTTTGTCTGAAGAGTTGGCCTTGGGAATGATTTTAGTTCTGGGTTGATAGTCCAGAGACCATGCCTTCTGGGGTTCCTCCAGTCTCAGTCAGACCATTAAGTCTAGTCTTTTTACTAGAATTTGAGTTCTGCACCCCACTTTTCTCCTGCTCCATCAGGGGCTCTGTATTGTGTTTCCTGTCAGGGTGGTCATTGATAGTAGCTGGGCACCATCTAGTTCTGGTCTAGGGCTGATGCAGTCTCTGGTTTATGTGGTACTTTCTGTCTCTTGGGCTAATACTTTCCTTGTGACTTTGGTATTCTTCATTCTCCTTTATTTCAGGTGGGTTGGGACAAATTGATGCATCTTACATGGCCGCTTGCTAGCTTTTTTTTTTTTTTAAATTATTTTTTTTGTACTTTAGATGAAGCTTTACAAAGCAAGTAGTTTCTCATTAAACAGTCAGTACACATATGGTTTTATGATATTGGTTAACAACCCCACGACATGTCAACACTCTCCCTTCTCGACCTTAGAGGACGTTTTTTTTGGTGAAAATATACATAGCCAAAGTTGCACCATTTCAAAAGTTTCTACATATACAGTTCAGTGACATCGATTGCATTCTTCCATTTGTGCTGCTATTCTCACTATCCTTTTCCAAATTATTCCATCACTATTATCTTCAACTCACTGCCCTCTAGGCTTCCCCTCAAACCTTTTTAGTTGCTGTTGTCAATTCGATTTCACATAGATAATTCTTTTTTTGTTGATTTGTACCTTAGATGAAGGTTTGTAGAACAAATAGTGTCTCACTGAACAGTTATTACACATATTGCCCTATAACATTGGTTAACAACCACACGACATGTCAACACTGTCCCTTCTCAAACTTGGGTTCCCTATCACCAGCTTTCCTGTCCCCTCCTGCCTTCTAGACCTTGTATCTGGACTGCTGTGCCTCATTAGTCCTGTTTTGTTTTATGAGGCTGTCCAATCGCTGGCCGAACGGTGAACTTCGGGAGTGACTTCACCACCGAGCTAAAAGGGTATCTGGGGGCCATACTCTCGGGGTTTCTCCAGTCTGTCAGGCCAGTAAATCTGGTCTTTTTTTTGTAAGTTAGAATTTTGTTCTACATCCTTTTCCAGCTCTGTTCTGGACCTTCTATTGTGATCCCAGTCAGAGCAGTCGGTGGTAGCCAGGTACCATCTAGATGTACTGGACTCAGTCTGGTGGAGGCCATGGTAGCTGTGGTCCGTTAGTCCTTTGGACTAATCTTTTCCTTGCTTCTTGTTCTCTTCATTCTCCCTTGCTCCTGAAGGGTTGAGATGAGTGGAGTATTTTAGATGGCTGCTCACAGACTTTTAAGACCCCAGACGCTACTCACCAAGGTAGAATGTAGAACATTGTCTTTTTAAACCGTGTTATGCCAGTTGAGCTAGATGTTCCCCGAGACCATGGTCCCCATAGTCCTCTGCCCAGCAATTCAGTCCCTCAGGGAGTTTGGATGTGTCTAAGGAGCTTCCATGACCTTTCCTTGTACAAGTTGTGCTGGCTTCCCCAGAATTGTGTACTGTCTTACCCTTCACGAAAGTTACCACTTATCTATTGTCTATTTAGTCCCCCCCCACCCCTCCCATCCCTCGTAACCAACAAAGATTATTGCTTTTTGTGTGTAAACTTTTACATGAGTTTTTACAGTAGAGGTCTCATACAATATTTGTCCTTTTGTGATTGACTTATTTCATTCAGCATAATGTCCTCCAGTTTCATCCATGTTGTGAGATGCTTCACAGATTCATCATTGTTCTTTTTCTTTGCATAATACTCCATTGTGTGTATGTTTATCCATTCATCTGTTGATGGGCATCTAGGTTGTTGCCATCTTTTTGCCATTGTGAACGGTGCTGCAATGAACATGGGTGCACATATGTCTATTCGTGTGACAGATTTTATTTCTCTAGGATATATTCCTAGGAGTGGGATTGCACTTTGTAGTGCTTTTTTTTTTCTCTTTTGTGGTGCTCACGTTTTCTTTGTTCCTCTTACTCTCCTGTGCTGAGTCCCTTTTGTTTGTGGACTTTTTTTTTTTTCATTTCTTTTGTTTTTGTAGGTTTTGTTTTTACTGAGACTTTGTTTTTCTTCTTTATTTTGATGAGTAGGTTTGTTAACTTTCTTTGTGGT